GAATTCATGAACGACTTTCGAGGAGGCTCATAGATGGTACTCTGAAAAAGGTATAGCATATTTACAACTTCTGGCAGACAAAGCTCCTTGATCATGAATCTACGTCGTCCGTTAGAAAAATCCTTTTCACATGTTTGCTTCTCATGAAACTGCATTTCCTCGCCTTTCAAAGAGGAAATAATTACGGAAAACCCTCCTCATTCAATACTCCATGTGATGCTGCGCCGCTCTCCCTGTGGCATATTAAACTGTTTCAAACGTATATCAGCTTTCCCCCTTTTATTTTCATAACCAGCGTTTTTAGCAACGCTTAAATTGGATTCTCTCTCGTTTTCTACGTCGAGGAATTTCAATTTTACCCGCCAAGTCCTGTTGCCGGGATTAATTTCTGCTGCTTCGATGGTTTTAGAAGTTTAAACATGATTTAATCGCAAAGGAACTAGGAGCGTACTCATTTTTAGCAGTTGGCATTTTCTCTTGAAGAACATCTCGTGAAATCTCGTTGCGCAGCGAACATCTCTAGCCCCGCGGAAACATTACCTTTCCACACACACCATCAACATGAACAGTTCTAACTTTATGAAATTGTTTAATTGTGTATAATTATCGAATAGGTAACTATTCGATGCTTCGTGCTCCCCAATATTTTTATTGCCTACGTGGCGAGGCATGAATGGTTGATTATCGATATTTCTCCATTTGAAGCTATGGTAAAGAATCGATTATCAGAGTGTTCGTTGCGAACACCCTGTTTATAAAAGTTTTAAATGGCAGATCAATCCATAGGTCGCAATGCACGCTACGCCACTGTTGCCAATGCAGCAAAATTGAAGGTGAATGAGGTGAACAATATCTAGCAATAGATTCACGTTTATTGTCTTGTGGTTCTATCAAAGTCTGCTAAGAGAGATGACTGTTGGTTTTTAAATAGAGAACTATTCGTAAACTCACGTAGCATCGTTGCCTATGCGCTGAAATGGAGATGTTGCATGTGTGAGGAACTTGCGATTTGACTGTTGATTCTTATGTAAAAGTTCGCGAGAAACACGATGGTGTCACTGGTTTTCTCTGAAATCAACTCCCAAGCCCCAAAAAAGCTCTCAAGTTGAGGCCAAAATGGAGGGGATATCCCGCGCTATCCTTAGAGTCCACGTCTACATCAAGACAAACTCTCCATGCAAAGATAGGGAGCAAATACATTGACAGGACTGCCGCACTTTATTTGGGGATTCTAAACCTGAAAACAGGGCAACCCTGCTAATGTATTTGCTCCCTATATCTTTGCATGGAGAGTTTGTCTTGATGTAAAGGTGGACTCTCAGGATAGCGTGGGATATCCCCTCCATTTTGGCCTCAATTTGAGAGCTATTTTTGAGCTTGGGAGTTAATATCAGAGAAAACCAATGGCACCATCGTGTTTTTCGCAAACTTTTCCATCAGAATCAATAGTCAAATCGCAAATTCCTCACTCATGCAACATCTCCATTGAAGGCGAGACTCAAGTTAGTGATAAGTGCAGAATCACACGCACCGTTCATTAGTTCCGTCAAAATATGCAACGGGTGTGGGATTACTATATTTTCGGATCGACAGCTTGTTGTCTCCGGTTGATTTGGACGCATTTCCGCCCAACGGAGTGCATTAAGTTATGAGCCCTGAGACTCAAAAGAATATATGCATAACAAGGCTCACGCCATAATGCACATAGCTCCGTTTGGCAGAAATACGTCCAATTGATACTTATCGGCACTCTTTTTTACATTCTCCCTCTCCTCTTTATCCTCATTTTTTTGTCCTCGTTGTGATGGCGCTTGATAGTGCAGCCGCTAATCATTTGCCATTAGTCGAGTTAAGAGAGGAACTAAACACGCAATTTTGCCTGGAGCTCAGCGCAGCGAGGAATGATGACGAGGACTTGAGATGAAAAGGACCAGCCCTCGGCGCGGCGGTCAGCATGTAACACATATTAGCGCCTACAAGACTGCATGAATACTTCACCCATTGCGCCAAACACAGTGCGGTCACGCGGTCAGGAGCGTTTGGCGTGAAACGCATAGCGCCACGCATTGCGTCAAACACAGTGCGTTCAGTAACGGTCGTCGACGTGAAACTCATAGTGCCTACAAAACTGTCGGAATACTTCACGCATTACTCCAAACACGGTGCGGTCTGCGCGGCGCAGCGGCGGAAGTTAAAATTATTAAACCATATTTATGTTTGTTCTTTCATAATTTTTTGGTTCATTTCCTTTAAATGGAGGATCTTGTCCACACAGAGATAGTTTTGCGGAACTTAACTTTCGCGCTAAGTTCCGTGAACTTTTGTTAGTAATGTTGACAGGTTTTTCGAAAAAAATGTGTCCGACACGAGCAAACGCATCTTATGCACCCCTCCCCCTCCGGCACGTTCACTTGATGGTTTTTATTGATCTTTCAAAACGAATGAGAAGGGGGCGGCAAAATACAGGCGGCCCATGGGCGGCAAGTAGATAAATCCGGCCCTGCTTTCTATGGTAACTAGGTATACATTCAGGCAAATCTGTGAATTTGGATTTCAATTCAATTATCTAAAAATGCACCCAAAAGAGCATTCCAATGTCGCTAACCTTGCAAACATAAACGATCATCTAAACTAGTTTCACCTCTACTCCCAATAAACTATAATTTCAAGACGAAAATTACCGTCGCAAAGTTTACTTTTTGCAAAGAATGCATGTACCTAAGTTGCACAATCCTAGCAACATTGAAATTCTCTTAGTTCCTTTTTGCAAAATGCGATCCAATTGGTTGTTGCTGCAAAAAAATAGTTTCCCACAGCCTGATATACAATGCTCCAGTGACCATGTAAGTTGGCCCGAGCACTAACTTTTCGGGAAGAAAGCCTTTCCCCTACCTGGTTTGTCACTTACTTAATATCCGCCCGAGTTTCGCATACCTATCTTCCGTTTCTCCTCATCGCAGCTTCCATCAAACCGCAATTGCCAGGAAACTAGGACCGCACATCTTATCTGATAAAATCGTCCGCCCTTTAGACCGATTCTGGGGGGTTAGGCTAGACTAGTCGATGAGTCAATAACTGTTGAGCTAATTTCATTACGTGAACGTAGAAGAAAAACGGGGTAAAAAATCACTAATGTGTGATCAATTTTCAAGGACAATTCTGTAATTTCTCCTACGATTTTAAATAGATTAAAACGCGAAATATCCAAAATCTAAGCTCAGATTCGGATTCCTCGTGAAAAACTGATGCGATTTTATGCATCAAATTTTAGAATAATAGCGTGAAGGAAAGATGTTTAATGACGTAAAAAACACTAATGTGTGATCAATTTTCAAGGACAATTCTGTAATTTCTCCTACGATTTTAAATAGATTAAAACGCGTAATATCGAAAATCTAAGCTCAAATTCGGATTCCTCGTGAAAAATTGATGAGATTTCATGTATCATAAGTTAGAATAGCGTGAAGGAAAAAAGTTTATTAACGACGCGTATAGATTCTCTTTGAACTACGCCGCCGCGCGGGTCGCCCGGGTGAAACCAAACGGGGAAGCGCCGGCCGGCGCTATAAGCGTTCGGTTTCGTCGCGAGGAATTCCTCACGATAAATTCTTATTCTTCCTCCTCCGCTGACCCACTGAGCACTACCCATGTTGCCACGTTGGATTCATATGCTCGAATCAGTATGTCTACGTTACGTCTCTTTCCTTCACGCTATGCTCGGGTATGATACATGAAATTGTATCAATTTTTAACGAGGAATCCGAATCTGAACTTCGATTTTTGGTATCCCGCGTTTTAAGTCAAATTTTCCAAATTCGAAATTCCGAAATGACTGAAGTGGCTTAAAATGCCATCTCGGCTCCTGTTTGATGGATTCTCCTAAAATTCGGTGTCAGGGTATGATACATGAAATCGCATCGATTTTTTATGAGGAATCCGAATCTGAGCTTCGATTTTGGGGATCACGCGTTTTAAATCAAAATCTGTCAAAATTCAAAAAATTCGAAAATCCGAAATGGCTTAAAATGCTAACTCGGCCCCTGTTCGATGGATTTTTCTGAAATTCGGTGTCAGGAGGTATTTTTCGACAGGAAACTCGAATTTTTAGTCCATTTTTTAAAATTCTCAACTCCAAAATGTTGGATGTGGCCTAAAATGAGCCCCGGTTCTGGCCTCCGTTTCTGTTCGTTAGAGCTTTGTGAACCGCGGGATCAGGGGTACTTCTTGACGGGAAACTCGAATTTTTAGTCGATTTTTGAAAATTCTCAAATCCAAGATGGCGGACGTGGCCTAAAATGCTATGTCGGCTCCTGTTCGATGGATTTTTTTGAAATTCGGTGTCTGAGGGTATTTTTCGACCGGAAACTCAAATTTTTACTATGTTTAAAAATTCTCAAATCCAAGATGGCGGAAGTGGCCTAAAATGCTATGTCGGCTCCTGTTCGATGGATTTATGGCGCCCCCTTACTACATGCCTACTCTTGTATTTCTGTACAGCCGCAAATTTAGGGTCAAGGGGCGCCTGACCGTCTATGGACCAGGTGGAGTTTTTGTCCTGAAAATTTACCTTTAGACGACAATTCTCTTTATATTTTGTCTATGGTTTTTATGCCCCCCCCTTTCTCGCGGACTCTCTTTTCACTTTTCTTGCCTCCTTTTTCCTTCCATTTCCCCCTTCTTCCTTGCTTTCACTGCCCAACCTTGTTTCCTTTTCCTTTTTTCCCCTTGTCCTTTCTTCCCTTTTTTCCCTTTTCCTTTCCCCCCTTATTTTCCCTCTCTTCTTCTTTCGTGGCGCCCCCCAAAGGCTGGCGTCCGTGTGCGCCGTACGCCCTGCACACGCCCTAAGTCCGAGCCTGCCCAAAATGTATACTTCTTTTAATTGCTCTCACGCTAAAATCTGCACGAAGAAGATTTCTTGAGCAGAAATTATTTCATTCTAAATTATGCGTTCTGATTTGGTTGTACAATAGGATTGAGACTATAAAATGAGGAAATGCACATTTTTTTCAGTTATGATGGGTCTCCATAATTGAAGATTTGGCTTTTTTTGATGTTCTTGAGAATCGTTAGTTTGTCGAGAATAATCCATATAGAGGAACGGAATTAAGCGAAAAGGAATCGCACACAGATTCAGGGGCGCAGAAAGTGCTCGATCGGCCGATTGCAGACCGATCGCGAAGCAAATATGAAGGCACCTGAAAAGGCTAACAAATGTAAAAGCACCTGAGAAGGAGGAAAATATGAAGGCAGGTTGCATAAACCAGCTAAGCGCATAGCTTTTTGCAAAGGAAACTGTAAACGCGCTCTTTTTTGCGAAGAAAATGGTTAAGCGTGCTTTTTAATCCGGAGAAAATAGTTTAAGCCATCTTGTATGCGGAGGAATTGTTGTCCACGAATGTCCATTGCTCTTGTTGTCGACTCTCAGCCAAGCGGAGATCATTTGGGGATCCGGCTGGGCCTGTAAAAGAGGAAAAAGGCCGTTTAAAGGCCGGCAAAAAGAGAGTTATGTTAGTTCTTAAAAAATACAAAAGTTCTCAAAGAGTCACGGGATCAAACCTAAAGGACACGATCCGAAGGATACATGTGGACGTCTTATTCGGCTGGTTTTAAATGAGTAGGCGCTAGTGGCGTGGCGTGCTTTGCGATTTATCGATTGATCTGCCATTATTCCTATGGAAAAGAATCGATAATCAGGGTGTTTACGACGAATTCCTTAATAATCGATTATTTACGATAGCTTCAAATGGGGAAATATCGATAATCGATCATTCATGCCTCGCCACTGGTAGGCGCATATCCGTCGCATTCCTCCAGCAGCCCTATTCTAATGAACTCGTGTCTTCCAAACCCGAATTCACTTAACAAGATAATATTTGGACCGCGTTTAGCAGAAAGAAACCAAGCCACATCAGCTACTGCCAAAAACTGAGCAATGTCATTTTTTTCAAAAGAACGTTTGTGCGGATTCCTTTGAAAAGTGCAATGAATTTGCTTCGTACCATGCAGAGAATTCACTGATATTTATGTAAAAAACCGCACAGACGTTTTCATGTAAAAATTAAATTGCCCAATCCAATCTGGCAACAGCTGATTTCGCTTGGTCCCTACTTAACGTGGTCTATTTAGTAGCCCCCTGGAAAAATGTCTTGGACCCCGGAAGAAGAAAAAGAGGGCAAAGAAGAAGAGATGGAGGACACAGTGATCTTGAAGCAAAACAAAGATGCGACAAAAATTTAACCGGAACCGGTTTGCAGGGATAAATCTATGGCAAGTATAGACTTGAAATCGCGAAAAATCAATATCTTGGCTGATCCTATTTCCGAGATGTCGCAATTTGAACTTTTCACAGTAAATGCAAGTTTTTTTTTTTCTGATTTTGATTCGGTTTTTTTTAATACGTCCATTGAATCGGTGACGATCGGTTCACGTCGACCAATTCATACTTTTATTTCTTGATCGAGTCATGTCGATCGAATACATACCCTCTCGTTTCACGCTGGCTTCCTATCATTCTTCTTACTTGAACTGAAAAGTTCGCCTTCTCTGCGTCTGCATACATTTGTTGTTACGAATATGTTGTGCGTGCTGATTTCAGCCCATTACATACTTGATTCTTTGAAGGCGTTTTATGTACGGGAGTAGAGCACCCTGGTGGAGAGCAAAAGAAGCGAGATTGAACAAATCGCTCAATGCCTACTTCGTTCGTTCTCCAAGAGATCTCACTACTCGCGCACATAAAGCGCCTTCAGAGAATCGAGTATGTAATGGACTAAAATCAGCACGCACAACATATTCGTAACAACATTGGCTGCGGGTGCAATTGAAGGCAAATTGAAAACAATTAAATGATCCACGATGAGAAACAATTCAGCGCATATTTAGGGCGTCTCTGAAGACGAATTGCTTGTGCACATAAAACACCTTCAGAGACTCAAGTAGGTAATGAGCTGAAATCAATACGCATAACAAATTCGTAACAACAATGGAGATGTTGCATGTGTGAGGAATTTGCGATTTGACTGTTGATTCTTATGTAAAAGTTCGCGAGAAACACGATGGTGCTACTGGTTTTCTCTGAAATCATCTCCCAAGCTCAAAAAAGCTCTCAAGTTGAGGCCAAAATGGAGGGGATATCCCACGCTATTCTGAGAGTCCACCTCTACATCAAGACGAACTCTCCATGCAAAGATAGGGAGCAAATACATTGACAGGGATGCCACTTTATTTGAGGACTCTAAAACCGAAAACACGGCAACCCTGCTAATGTATTTGCTCCCTATCTTTGCATGGAGAGTTTGTCTTGATGTAGAGGTGGACTCTCAGGGTAGTGTGGGATTTCCCCTCCATTTTGGCCTCAACTTGAGAGCTCTTTTGAGCTTGGGAAATGATTTCAGAGAAAACCAGTGGCACCATCGTGTTTCTCGCGAACTTTTACATAAGAATCAACAGTCAAATCGCAAATTCCTCACACATGCAACAATGCAACATCTTCATTGTCGAACGAATCCATTTTTTAATGTACCATTTAAACGGCTCAAAATGTTTTTCTACACGGAACATGTACTTGTTATCACATACCTCTGCATCCCCGCTCACAGAAACAGCAATCAGATCTGCACGGGCCTCGGCCGCAGCATTCACCGTCTCGGGCTATTTTTCCATCTCGGCAATACACAGAGAGGCCCTCTCTTTGTCCATAACAGCAAATGGCGTTTGCACATAAGAAGTGAAGGCAAACGACGAGTACAGTTATTGAGACGAGCACTTTATCCCAGGACAGCATTGTTCATCCATTTGCCACCAAAATCAGCTCTGATCGAATTGATAGTACAGCTAATCCTCACAGAGACTATCTGAAAACAATATGGAACAACACAAAAATATTCATAAAATATTTATAAGCATGAGAAGTTCAATTGCGCAACCCTTCATCAATCAGTGATCGCGATAAGTTCCGATTTGATCGGAGAATGTACGATTTTGTTGACGTTAATTTATTGCAATATTATTGGATGAAAAATTGCGATAAGTTGCAATTTTGTCGCATAAAGTCGCAATTTTTTCGCCGGCGATTTATCATAATATTATTGAGCAAAAATCATGATATAAATTGTGATGAGATTTACATTTTATCAAACGAGATTTTATAGAGATCACATTGTGACAATATCGAGGATAATCGCTCGGATGTTGATGATCCTAGCGATTACATGGCCAAAAAATCGTAAGAAAATAGCAATCTGATAATAGCAAAATATTACACTTTTCCCGTTGAAAAATACTACTTCGGATCTGACTTCTGACCCAGAGGTCCCGGGTTCGAATTCTGGCTTGGATGACGAAATTTGATGGTCTCAGATCTTGTCATTTTTGAGGGGCATAGATGTTCATTCTCTGGGCTCTTGTCGGCAAAAGAGGACACTGAAATTAGCTTTGTATAGATCCAAAAATACAAATTTTATGGGGGAGAAAATAATTTGCGTGATGAACATAATTTGAGTATTCGGTGAACAAGGATAGGGCCATTTTGATGTTTTTAAGAGTATGGAGAATCCAAGGGCGATTATAATAATCCTGCTCATTTACATAAAAGTTAGGAGCAAATTTAATTATAGATGAGTTAGATTTTCACATGGAATGGCCTACAAACAAAGGTGATTTTTGTCTTTAAAAACTTTCGATTTTTGGAGTGTTTTCATCACCTTCACGTCAATGATGGAAGTTTTCTTATAAAGGAAAGTTTTCCACAACAAATTCATCTTCCGATTTTTGGACATGTTGAATAGGAATATCGACCGATTCAATTGATATTTGTGAAATTTAATCCAAGCCAATTTATATCTTTTTTCCACTAATTACATGTACGTGTCCATTTAAGGCTGCGTTTGAGATAAAATTTAAATCAATATTTTTGACCCGAAATCGGTGTTTTTGCTGTAGGTATTAAGCGACTGGAGTTTCCAGCTTGAGGCATATTTCGTCTGTCTCCATCATAAATAATTTACCAAGAGACTTGTTGAGGACGTTCGCCGAAGTAGCAAGTTGGCAGTTAGATCCCCGCCGTAGCAGCGTATTAGTCCGAGAACTTTTAGGAACTTTTTCCTGAGCACTTTTGAAATTACGAGATAAAAGTTAATAGTGCTCAGGATGAGGAGGCGGGAAGGAAGAAGAGGAAATATGGACATGACAGGAGCAAACATTAAATTCCTTACCTTATCGGACCCCGGCGAATGTGCATAGCGTCTCAGCCTCGCGGAGGAAGAGAAAAGAGAGAAAAGAAAAATCCCGTTGGAAACGTACGACTCCGAGGCGCTGACAGGCTCATAGAAGAGCAGAATAAGAACCGCGCACGGCGAGATTTTGTTCCTGCACCGATGCAAACGCGACAAACCGAGATAGGAATTTAATTTTTTCGCCAGTATCAAATTTACCGAGGCTGAAAAAACGTCGCTCAATTTGTGGCCGTGCAGCTTTCCATACTTTACTGGTTTCGTAAAACTCTGAGCGTTGCGAGCGGCGACGCGTGCTTGGCGATATATCGATCGCTGCCAATTGAATCTACGGAAAAGGATCGATGTACAGGGTGTTCGTAACGAGCACCTTCACAATCGATTCTGTACCATAGCTACAAATGGGGGAATATCGATACCTAATCGATGATTCGCGGCTCGCCACTGATTGCGAGGAGTCGCAAATTTCATCAGCTCGCGAATTCGGTTTCCCAACATTGTGCCGCCGAGCTGATTAGCTCGCGATTCTGGCTCTGGAAAGGGGATAACACGATCACGGAGGAAGAGAGGAGAGAGAAGAGAGAAAGAGCGTTATCAGGAAACGATGCAAGTTGAACAGATTAGGTGGCAGGTTCCGGTGAGTGTCACCGTTGGATTTCTTAGTGATTAAAAAAACTGAACAGCCCAAGTAGCATTTTTCAACGGAAAAATTGCGATATTTTGAAATTAGATTGCTAGTTTTTACGAGTTTTTCGCAATACAATCGCTAAGATCATCAGCAACTGAGCGATCATCCTCAATCTTGTCGCAATTTTATCTCAACAAAATCGTATTCAGGGGCGTAGCTAGGAAATTTCTCTGGGGGGGGGGGGCATGGGACCACCTCTCGTGGTGAAGAGAGCGGGGGGTGAGGAATGAAGTATCCCGTTTTTCTGGGGGGGAGGGCACGAGATTTCTGGGGGGGCCAGGTCCCCCCCAGGACCCCCCCTAGCTACGCCCATGATCGTATTTGATAAAATCAAAATTTTAGCGTAATGGAGAATTCGCACGAAAATTTTTTATTGCTTCATCTGAAAGTGCTTAAATCGTGAGAATCGCAACCTAAGTTCAAAATACCGAGATTTTTCCGCCGGGAAACGCTACTTGGGAGATGCAAGGGCCAGACTTTCATTAGCGCTCCCATAGTAACTTAGTTGCGACCGCTGCGCTTACAGAAAAAAAAGTAAAAATGCGGATTCTTTCAGCGGTAACTTGTAAAGGAAGGATGCAAGAGGGAATTTACATTGATGGCGCTCCATTTATTCTCCTCTTTCTTATCTATATTTGCTGTCAGGAGTCGCTGACTTTCCTCATTTCATTAATCTTTTTTTCGCACCATTTTTCTTTCCGGGCTTTCTGTTCGCTCTCTTTCAGGTCTCCGCCTCTCGCGCTCACAGCTTACTCAATCGAACTTTCGTTGCCCCGGCTTCCGCGACGATGGGCCGAACCCGCGTAACTCCCGTGGAAAATCCAGGGCACATACGCGGTTTTTGCTTCTAGCTGCTCTTTTTTTCCTCCTTGAAAGCGATCACCGACTCGCGTCGGTTCAAAATGGACGTATTTCCGTCAAACGAAGCTATGTGCATTGAGACATGAGCCCTGAGACCCATAAGAATATATGCATGACAGGGCTCACGTCACAATGCAAGTAGTTCCGTTTGACAGAGATACGTCCAAATAAAAGTCGAGACCCGCCGCGGCGCGCCTTGCAATTTGACATTTTTACTGCCACTGCGCTAATCGAAACAATAAACTTTTGCCCTCATTTTTCCTCTTTTCTTTTCGCCTTTCCCGTTACCATTCCTTCACGCTCTGATTTTTTTGACAGGAGTTTCTTTCGATCCGCCGAATGCGTGCGTTCCCGCGACCCGCCGCAATGCTATGAAACTCGACTGTTTTGCAGCCATTTGGCGGATCCAGCAAATTGGCAACATTGTTTTTCCCCATTTAAATCTATGGAAATGTATCGATTCCTGGAGGAGCCAGGTGCTCCGACAAAAATCGATTATTCGACATAGATTTAAATGGAGGAATTCCGATGTTGCCAAATTGCTGGATCTGCCTCTGTTTGCAGCGGTACAATTTTAGACAGAGGGCGCGGGAGGAACCTTGAAAAGGAGGGGTATCGATGGAGCCGTTTTTGGGCCCACACCCAAGTAGTAGAGATCGTGATAAGTTGCAATTTGATCGAAAAATGTAGGTATTGCAATTTTATCTACGTCGATTTTTTGCAATATTGTCGTGTAAAAGATTGAGATTTCGTCGAATAAATTTGTAATAAAATCGCGATTCTGTCGACGACGATTTATCACGATATTATCGAACGAGAAATCTTGATAAATTTCGATTTTATTGAATGCGATTTTATAGATTCAAGATCGATGATAATCGCCCAGATGTTGATGATCCTAGTGATCATATACGCCCAAAAAATCGTGAAAAAATCGCAATTTAATTTCAAAATATCGCGATTTTCCATTGAAAAATGCCCCTTGGGCATTGAATTCAGACTGGGATCCGGAGTGAACTGGGATTGATCTAAGTTGTTTCCTGAGATGTAATTGTTAGATAGTTTGATAGGACTCCAGCAGGTTTGGACAATCTGATTGACAAAGAGCTCTGATTGACTAGAGCGTCCTGCTATCGAGTAGTGCTTCAGTCTAAGAATTTCTGCTGTTGCCCTCAAAGACGGGGTATCGCTAAGGGCTAGGGCCCACCCTGCATTTCCTTAACTCTACAGTTTTTTGCCCATTGGATATTTTACGGAGTGCAGCATGATTTGGTCATTTCCGGTCTCATTTTGCGTCTAATACTGGCCTAAACATGGATCTGAAGGCCAATTTTGGCGGAAAATGCGGATTTTTAGGGTTTGCGATTGAATGCGGAAAAATCCGCATTTTTCGCCAAAGCTGGCCTTCAGACCAATGTCTAGGCCACTATTAGACCCAAAAAGAGACCAGCAATGACCAAAGCATGATGAACTCCGTAAATATAGACCTTCGATGGGAAAATTGTAGAGCTGAAGAGATTCAGCCAGGATGGGACTAAGACTGGCCCCTAACGATACCCCTCCATTGCACCTTTTTTAGGGCAGCTCTCATGATGAGCGAAATGGGTCTTGCACTTATGATATCCCTCGCAAGCGGTTTTTAAGTTAGGCCTCCACCCCGTCTTAGAGTAGACCTTGCTGCCTTGAGAAGATTTTTTTCCGTTTCAAGATAATGCCGAAGTAAAAGCTAGAAACTATAAATTCCATCATTACTTTGGAACTAGATCATCCGCCACGATGAATGTTAAATACAAAATTTGAGAAGTGGGGAGTAAAATATTTTGCAGGTATCGATAACAGCTACCATCCACAGAACGAAAAGATTCACCTCGATTCAAAAGCATTAGCAAAAGCGGCCACTATCGAGTCGGAACTGTGGCCTGTGGCATATGAATACCACAACCCTGGTTGATACATCGTAACAAAATACTCTTGCCGTATTCAGATAAATTCTCAATTAAGGGGCTTGGAGGGCAAGGCGCTTAAGTGCAGATTTGGAAAAAATTGAGTTATTAATGATTTCAAGTAAAACTAGTCTTAATGCATATTCTGTTAAAAATCGCTCGCGAATTCCAATATTTGAATACCAACAAGTCAGTTCGAACTTTCTTGCCGCCATAAAGATCAATGTCATTTCGAAATTCGAAGCTTCAAACACGTATCGCTCGAAGCAGCAAACACTGCACTTCGGCTGATTGTGAGTTCGTCTTGTCCTTCAAGCCCCTCAATTCGCCTTCATTTGACAATGTAGGCAAAATGCGCTCTTATTATAAGACGAACCCAGCCGTGCTAAGGAAAAACGCCGTATGAACATTCGGGAGTTGCCAAATTTCCTCCGATGAAATGTTTACTTTTTAGGAATGTTATAAATATTTTTCCGAGAAATTTTTCAAGAACTTGGTAAAATTGCGAACAGAATGATCTGAAAAATTGGAAGAATATTTACAAATTTTCCTGAAAATTCGTGATTTACCTGAGGAAATTTGGCAACTCCCAAAGGTTCATACGGCCTTCCTCCTTAGCACGGCAGAGCTGCAGAGTTCCTCGTCGGCTCCCTAATTACTTGGTGCGGGTCTGTGGCGGGGCGTGAATGATCGATTATCGATATTTCCCGATAAGAAGCTATGGTAAAGAATCGATTATTACGGTGTTCGCTACAAACACCCTGATTAAACCTTTCCCACAGGTTTAAATGGCAATTCAATCGATATATCGAAAATCACGCCACGCCACTGAAGCGGATCCCACTCACAGCCTTTGAAAGTTCGATGAAAAGTTCCCTGCTCTAAGAAATTTCATTAAATTTCATATTTTTTTGTCACTGCTCTGTGAAACCATCGACGGAAAATAGCGAACCTCCCCACCGTAACAAAATGATCTCGAGAGAGTGCTTATTGTAATAAACTGTTGGGAGTGGAGGAGATGAAAGGAATAGATGTTGTTTTATGCTGCGAGAGTCTCATTCCTTAAATGAAATCGATAAACCGGATGAGTGCTGTTCGGATATTGCTCGAGAAGGAGGTCATCTCTACCGGAGCATCCATCCTCTGATATCAAGCCAAGAAAGAACGCAACTGTTCATAATGGCTGCAAACATTTATCTTGACGTAATTTCATTACCTGCTCCGAACTTTTCTATCGGTCAGAGGATAGTTCTGAACTCACTTTATCCTCGCAATAACATAAATCTTTGGCGCTATTCCGACCGTCTCAGGGAAGAGAAGAAACCTGACTTCGTTGGAGAATGATACGTTGCACCATTAACTGCTCTCTTGTTTTACTGACGAGACCATTAAGTCAAAAATGAGGTTTTGAGGAGATGGATCCAGTGCTGTTAGAGCGGAAGTTCTCTTCGAATAAGCGCTTCATTTTTTGTTAAAATTTCAATAATCATTTAAAAGACCATTATTAATTGAAGGGCTTGGAGGAAAAGGCGCATATGTACAGTTCCCCTGGTAAAAATTGGCAGTAGAATCTGTGCTCCAAAATACCATAGACCTACAGCCGGCTGTAAGATTTCCAATAGCTTCTATAGCCAGCAACACAATTTCTTATAGCCTTTTATAGCCGATGGCGATTAAGCAATAGCCTGGCGATAACGTGTATGCTAAACGTTACTAATTACGGATGCTAGGACTTAGTGAGTTCTTGGAATACTGCTCTCTTTTT